CTATTCTGACAATAAAATGAATACCATTGAATGCCAGGATAGGGATTGAAAAGTGTCCGTGTTGAACTTTGTGGCGGTACGCGTCAACAATAGTACACGCCCGCGCGGTATCTGCATTACCGGCAATTCGCGTCGACGCCGCTAGGCGTCGCATCGCCGGGGCATCTTCTCGAGTTCAAAGTTTCGTCTCGACCGCTATGTAAAGGGACCCCCTACGGTGCCTGACAGATCTTACAAATCTCATTTTCGAGCTAATTGCCCGTCGGCAGTAGTGCGTGTAATGCCCTTAGGCATACACAAAAGCTCACCGACGAACAACGGCACTTGGTCGCCCAACAAAGGCGCGAGACGTTTCCTAAACCATCTAATGCCATGCAATTCCATAACCTTTACGGATTCCATAGGATTGGATGAAATTGAAATTTCTCTTTTTTGGATTCCATGGGATCGGACCATCTCATTTCGAATCCCATCTAATTTTATCTAATTCCGCCAAAAAAAGGGATTCAAAGGTATTAAAAAATTTTAATATCTTTTAATCTTTTTGCGTTTGCTGGGTTTCTCTCGAGCGTGATTCTGTCTTCTCTTGCACGTGCGTCAGTTTGTATAGAAGGGAAATGGTACGCACGTATCATCGCAAAACGTTTGTTTTGGCCGACCAAAAAGATGGCGGACCGTTGTTTTCGAGATCGCTCGTGCTCACGGCCGCGGCACGTCGGCGAGGTACGGCGAGGCACGGCACGGCTCTGAGATTCCGCGATTTCCGCGCGAGAGTTGACATGCCGCGCGCGCGGTAGATCGTCCCGGCCGCGGTAGCATCGTTGTTGGTCGTTGTGTCAGTGACATAGAGATATAAGAATAGAGTGCGCGAGTCATATGCTAGCACGTAAGAGGCTGCGATATAGGAATAGAAAAAGAACGCTGCATATAGGCCCTTTCTGTCTTTGTCTACGCGTGGATGCGAAACAAAGACAGAAGGGGCCCATGCGCAGCTTTCTCTTTCTATTCTGCGCAGCTTTCTCTTTCTATTTCTATATCGCTTTTTCAGTTCGCTCGCGCACTCTATTCTTATATCTATATGGTCAGTGACAGTCGCGCGTGCGACCGTATTGTCCAGCATTTGCCAACGCATCGTGCCGCATCGTGCCGCATCGGCAAATGCCAGATGCGTCTCGGCGTCATAGTCGCTGCCGTTGTAGTGGTGGTGGTGTCGGTGGTGGTCATCGTCGTCGTCGTCGTCGTGGTGGTGGTGGTGGTGGTGGTCGTGGCCGTCGTCGTCGTTGCTCCGTACAAAGCGATGTAAATCACAGAATCCCTGGGTCCTGACGGAGCGATTCCGACGACGTGTCGTCGTCGGTGCGTCGAGGAACGGCGCGAGGATGCCGTCGAGTCGGTAAAATGGTCGCGCTCCACCGCGAGCTTTTCTAACCCCCCTGCCGCTATTTATCGCTCCCTCGCGAGAAACGCGGCTTGGTTAGGTTGCTCGAGGGCCCGCGCTGATCCTATGGCATCGGAACGCCGTCACGCGTGTTCCCCGTGGTTGCCCGCGTTGACAATGTGACGTGCCGTTGGGGAGTTTACGATTTGGTTAACTAACAAATTGTTAGGATCTGTATTCACGTGCCTAAATTGTTTTATGGAATAGGTAAAACAATTATTTTTTAATGTTTTGCATAAAAATTTTAAATAAATTTTTATATTTTTTTCTTAAAAAACAATTATTAAAATGTATCCTATCATTTTTCAGGATTAGATGTACGTATATGTATTGAAAATGCAGTGTGACGGATTAACCCCGGGGGGGACGGTTCAGCCCCGGCATTTTTGAGATTTCAATTTTTCCACCATTGTCGTTTTTGCTATATAAGTTAAACAAAGCGACGTAGACAAAAATTTCTTATATAAATTTTGTAGCTAAAGGTTCACTCTTTACAGTGGTATACCACATTTAACTACAATTATTTATTTTGTTAAAAATCGGCACCGAAAAAAAAACAGAAGGTTTAACCCCGTCTCCCCTACTTACTGACTATATCAGTTTGATCTTAGGTGGCGACGTTAAGGGGATCCTATACCCGTCTGTAATACCAACATTTGTTTTACACAGATATCTTTTTTTTGGCTTTACGGATTTAAAAATCCTTCTCCAAAGTTGAAACATATTTGGAAATAAAGGCCACACTACGTGATTTTATACCGAGAATAAAAATAATTTTAGGAACTGCATATAACAATGCGTCAACTTGCAAAAACATTCGCTTTATATAAAAATTCTACAATGTATTGTTACAAAAAGACTGTGGCGTGGCTAGCGGATTACATCCAAAAATACGATACTATTGTCAGAATTAGGTTTAGACTCTAAACAAAAAAGTTATCTGTGAAAAAGCATTATTGCAAACGTGCACTAGCAATGATCACATGGATGATGGATGATCACTAGGAATGATGACATGGAAGAGCAGTATTGCGTGTAGCGAGAGATGGCGCAGCAATCGAACAAAGACAGATGCCTCTCGTTAGACAAGGACAGATATAGATATATAACATAGAAAACAGGTTTAGAAATGTTGACATTACCGACGTTGAGGAAGTTCGGCCTCCACTATAGGATCCCCTTAAGGGGATCCTGGAGTGACAGCGACACTGGCATAATCGGTCTAAGCAATATCTTTGAATTGGCTGAACAGAATGGAAAATCCTTTTACACGATTAATGTACGCACAAAAATGAAGAGGGCTGTACATCATTTTTTCTGATAAACTAAAAAAATTTATTTTTATAAATATTATTCTAACCTGACGACAATATTTGCTTTATACAAAAATTCTGCAGTTTTTTTATAGAAAATAGTGATACAGCCCTCTACAAAAAACTGTCAGAAATAATATCGTGCAATTAGAAGTAAGATTTGAAGCGTAAAAAAAAGATATTACTTAGACCAGTGGAAGATGCAAGGTTAGGTGCTCTGTATGTATGTGTAAGAATCGGTGAGCACTTCTTTATCGACGCTGATCGAGTTTGCCTGCGCTCTGTATGTATATGTAAGAATCGGTGAGCACTAATTCTTTATCGACGCTGATCGAGTTCGGCTACGGCTCCAGCATCCCCTTAAGGTGAAGTCAGGGTCACTTTAAATTTTTTAAATTAGATTTCTATTTTTTATTGCATATTTTTGTAGCTCTTGTCGAATTGTTTTTAAAACACTATATAATAAAACTTTTTTTTTGTTAAAAATTTCTTGAGATATTTTAAATTTTATCATGATATTTTTACTATACTAGACACGACCCTGGCGGAAATATTTCTACAAAATTTAAAAAACTATAAAATATAATTGCCAGAATCTATTAAATTCTACATGAATTTAAGAAGTACTACAAAATCCTACATGAAAATGCTAGAATTGGAATACTTTTGTAAATTTTTGTAGTATTCTACAAGTAAGCAGATGTTTTAATTTTTTAAGATTTTGTTTTTTCTTAAATTTTTAAAATTTGTAGATCTTTGTACTATTTTTTATAAATTGTAGTTTTTCATAAAAAACTACTTGCAATAATTTCTTGATTTGAGAACATTGTAATTTGTGGTACTATTTCGTAGATATTTCTACAAAAAAATAACCATTTCTACAAAAAATTAAATATTTTAACAAAAATGTACAAATTTCTATTTTTAGTTAAATTTTGTAGTTATTCATAGAAATTTTTTCCACCAGAGGAGACTAGACATCACAGACGCGCGCTATGTGCGCGCTATTTAGCTCTATTATACTGTTGCGCTGCGCTCCGCAATCTCACAGACACTCGCGTTCACGCCGCGCTCTCCCGGACTCGCGTAAAGAAAGGAACATTCTCCCTTAAAAAGAATCTCAGGTTTATTCGGAAAATACAGAGGAGAATAGGAGAACAGGTCCGAACGGTTCGGAAGCTCCAGGACGAATCTCCAAGAAGATGTTTATAACAAATAATGGGCGCGTTCAGCAAACACAACTGTTGAGTTCGTCTTATCAACACTCTGCATTGATTGGTTGGTTCTAAAAGTAGGAGCCAATCACGTTCAACTGCTACTCAGCGGCTTGGTCTGCTGAACGCGCTTAATATTACAGCCCGTTGTCAAGGCGCGCGCTTCGGCTTGAAGCTACTCGTGAGTCAAGTTCAGCTGGCAACGGGTGTTTCAGCACGAGCGCAACAATACTATTACTATTACCACAGATAATCTGTGCTATTACACTATTAACCCTTGATACATAAAACTGTCAAAATATGCGATGACAGATGTTCACGAAGTTAGCGCAATGAGAGAACCAATCAGCATCGCGGAAAAGCGTCAATAAAACCGCTTACATGGCTTTTTTTTATGAGGAAAAATATGAAATATCTCGTAAAGTATTCACTTTTTGATGCCTTTACCTTGATACTTTTATATGTAAAATAATGAAAAGAATCGATTGTTGTAAAAAAAAAAACAGAAAAAATTATTTTAAAAAATTTGATTGCATTTTGTAGACACATTCAATTTTACAAAATTGCAAATGTAAAAATTAAGTGTAAAGAAATATATAGGTATATAATATTTTGCTTATACTACATATAATTATATAATGCATAAAGAAACATTTTAATGCCACATTAGGTGGGATCATTCCAAAAATTGGTACATACCGAGTTTTGAAACACAAACGTTCATAAAATCTCGAGAAAGATATGTCGAAATCTTATTCAACGATGAGGACTACGATTATATGTGTGGTCATGTAATCGATGGAAGAAATTTGCTACCCGCGACGAGTTATCTTGTATTCGTTTGGCAAACTATTGGTATGATGAAAGGTATAACATTCACAACAATACCGATAATATTTCGAGATGTCAACTTTATTCGCGCTACTCATTTGACGAAAAGTGATGCTATAAAATTGATAATTGCGATACAGAAAGGTATTTATAAAATGACTTACTTTAAACTAGCATAATTGTAAGAATGCGTGTAAAATAATTGAACATATAAAAATATTACAGACGGGAAGTTTGAAATAACCGAAGACGGTAACGTTGTGGTGACAGGTACAGTGCACGAGACATTGAACCCAGAACAGGAAATGATTCGAACAGATCTATTACCGGCGAATAACGACGAAGAAGAACATATGACTGCTCGAGATATCTATAAAGAATTGAGACTGCGCGGTTACCAGTACAGCGGCTGGTTTCGTGGATTACATAGCGCATCTATTTCAGGCAACAAAGGACAAATCGTTTGGAAAACAAATTGGGTAACGTTTATGGATACCATGCTACAAATGTATATTATTGGATACGATACCAGGGACTTGTATGTTCCGACGAGTATTCAGAAATTGGTGATCAATCCTGAGCTTCATGCGTCAAAACTGCGGAATAGCGCGACTGGCATGGAAAATTCGACAGATATAGATAAAAGTAAGTGCTTTTGAATCACGTACTTGTTGAGTTATTTTGTTTTGATAAATATCGCATAAGAAAATCTTGTAATATAAAGCGTATTATTTTGTCTTATTACAGAATTACCGATACAAATATACAGAGAACTAGACACGATTATAGCTGGCGGAATAGAGATTCGAGGCCTTAAAGCTACTCAGATCTCTCGCCGGAGATTGGCTCAAGATGTTGTTACCGAAGAACACGTATTTGTTGCTCATCATGATCGCGCTAAAATTTCTTTGAACGAAGCTATTCGGATATCGGCGCAACTCGCGCTGGAAGATCATCAAATCATTAAAATAAAAACCATCGAGCTAGTGGAAGATGTCGATGACGTTGCATTAGAATATCTCTCTTCTTCGTTGCTGGTTGAGGCTTTTGGTGATGTGCCATTAATACAAACAAACATCACTCTATTAACATCGCCGAATCGTTTTAATTCAGCAGATCTACCACAGAACATTACAATCGGAGATTTAAACAAACCATCTGTAGATGACAAAGCCTTAATAGTTGCAGGATTCAACCTTTTGACCAAACAACAAGCTTTGTTAGAACGACTTTTGTCATTTCTGAGAGAAGGTGGTTATCTGTTGTCACGTGAGAAATGCGACGTAATTGATTACACCAAATATTTACAGCAATACGAATTAAATGTTATTCTTGAAAAGCGCACCGACAAAGAAATGATTGTGCTTCTGAAGAAGAAAATTCCAATAGGAAAAAGAATTGTTGTTTACATAAATAATGATAACTTTAATTGGCTGGAAGATTTAAAGCTACTTGTGAGCGGTGAGAAGAATCTCGAAGAAAAAAGTAGGATTATAATTGTTGGAGAGAGAGATTTCGAGTGCGGTTTGTTAGGTTTCGTTAATTGTTTGAGAAAAGAGCCAGGCGGAGAGCTTGTTAGAGGTGTGCTTATTCAAGATGAAATGGCGCCTAAGTTTTCTCTCCAGGACTCCCTCTATAAACAACAATTAGAAAAAGATATGATCATTAATGTATTGCGATCTAATAAAAACTGGGGATCATACAGACATTTGCGATTACTACGACCGGAAGCCGAACCCGTACCTACCGCTTATATCTGCCAAACGGTATATAGGAATGCTTTCAAAATATACGGACATTTTATCAATGTACAGTGAGAAGCAAAAATGAGTTCCTTTTTCGGTGTAAATGAGCGCACTATTTCTACTTTCCAGCCAATTGCATGCCTAGAAATGGTGCGCTCATCTATACCGAGAGGGAGAACCCATTTTCACTCCCCAGTGTACAATAATATTATGTATTTTTAAATCGCTTTTTAAATACTTTCACGATATTTCTTTACTTAAAATTTTGTTTTATATATGTCATGTGTTACGAAATAGATATTTTTCTAGGTCCGTGGTGATCTAAGTACATTTTGTTGGATAGAGAACAGTTTATCTGTCGAATCCCGTCGTGAGGATTTGGTACGTGTAGTTTACTCATCATTAAATTTCAAAGATGTAATGCTCGCGACTGGTAAATTAGCATCTAGTCAGGCGATCTCACGAGGACGGTTATCACAATATATATCCCTTGGATTAGAATACGTAGGATTCGATGCCAACGGGCAACGTGTAATGGGAATCCGTGATACCAAGTAAATGATGTTTTAAAAAATAATTCCGTTGCGTAATGTAAAAAAAATGAAACTAAATAAAATTATTCTTTCTAGTTGTATCGCAAACGTTGTTGTGAAAGATAAAGATTTTTGCTGGAGGATACCTGATGCGTGGACATTCGAAGCGGCTGCGACGATCCCGTGTGTTTACAGCACGGTTTACTTAGCCTTATACATATATGGGAAAATGAAAAAAGGCAATAAGATACTTATACACTCTGGTACTGGAGGCATTGGACAAGCAGCTATTCATCTCGCTCTCAAAGAAGGATGCGAAGTATTTACTACTGTGGGCACGAACGACAAACGGAACTTCATTAAGAAGATGTTTCCGAGTATTCTGGATGAACACATTGGAAATTCGCGAGATACCAGCTTTGAACAAATGATAATGCGAGAAACGAACGGTCGCGGCGTCGACATCGTGTTAAATTCATTGGCAGAAGAAAAGTTAATCGCGTCAGTTCGTTGCTTAGCGAAAAACGGTCGTTTTCTGGAGATTGGCAAATTTGATCTCATTTCTAACAATCCACTAGATACGTCCATGTTTCAGAAAGGTATTAGCTTTTATGGGATTTTACTCGACAATATGTGTACTGGCGATCACAAGTATAAGTCGCTATTGTCCAAAATGGTAGCCGACGGTCTTGAAGATGGAACCATTAAACCAATTCAAGTAAAAGTTTTTTCAAAAATAGAAATCGAAGAAGCTTTCAGATACATGGCGAGTGGAAAACACATGGGGAAGGTACTCTAATATTGATTAATAGTAACATAAAGAATTAAGTAGCATAAAGGATTATTCATAATAGTCTTAAGAACTTACTTATTTTACATAGAATGTGCATTTTTAACATATGAATATTTTTATAGATAATTATAAATATCCAGGAAAAGGATAAACCTTTAGACAAGTCGATTGTCGCATATCGTCGATATTACTGTCTCAGAAATAAAAGTTATATTATACTAGGAGGTCTGGGTGGATTCGGTTTGGAGTTAACCGACTGGCTGATATTTCGGGGCGCCAGGAACGTCGTGTTGATATCGCTAACTGGAATGAAAAACGGGTACCAACGCATGAAAGTTCGACTATGGAAATCGTACGGTGTAAACGTGCTGATCATCAAGAATATCGATGTTGCTGATCCTAAGGACTGCGAATACCTCTTGCGAATTGCCGAAAGGGAAGCACCGGTAGATGCGATATTCAATCTCAGTGTGGTGCTGAAGGACAGTGTCCTGAAGAATCAAACCGCGGAGACCTTTGCGGAGTCCTTCCAATCAAAGGCTCGAGCAACGCAAACATTGGACAAGCTTTCTAGAAAGATCTGTCCTCAACTGCGGCACTTTGTAGTGTTTTCTTCCGTTTCCTGCGGCAGAGGAAATGCTGGACAGACTAATTATGGCATGGCCAACTCCATCATGGAGAGAGTGTGCGAGAAAAGAGCGGAGGAAGGATTACCCGGATTAGCGATTCAGTGGGGGGCTGTGGGTGACGTGGGTCTTGTCGCTGACATGCAGGAGGACGATAAGGAATTAATTATCGGTGGCACCTTGCAGCAAAAAATATCTTGCTGTCTCGACGAGCTCGATAAGTTTTTAATTCAAAGCCGACCGGTTGTAAGCAGCATGGTCGTAGCTGAAAAGAAAGCGGGATCTTCCGGGCTTGACAGACTGGTAAACACTGTCGCCAATATTTTAGGTACATGCTTCAACATAAACTTACTTTTCGCATATACTTAATATATTTTTTACTAAACCAGTTTACGAGTAATACATTACGATATAAATTATAATATTTTTTTATATTATACAGACATAAAAGACATGAAGGTTGTAAGTCAAAATTCATGTCTGGCCGAACTTGGAATGGACTCCATGATGGCCGTGGAAATTAAGCAAACTTTGGAACGCGAGTTTGACATTTTTTTGACTGCGCCAGAGATACGAAATCTTACCTTCGCGAAGCTCAATAAGATATCCAATGCAAATGTTAGCGACGATAATACGCAAGACAAGAAAAAATTTGATATAGTGGAGCCAGACGTTATAAAATTCCTAGTTGGTGTTCTAAAAGACGAAGATTTTATTTCAGAAGCCTGTTTAGATGTCTCGACTAAAAGACAGAAATCTACGACCGAAGTATTTCTTATACCGGGTATCGACGGATGTGGAACCATATTCAATTATTTGATACCAAATATTAAATTTTCAATAACGTCCTTGCATTATAATACAAACAACATCGATGCTACGAACATTATATCGGAGACGACTGATCATCTCACAAACGTATGCAACTAGTAATTGCACATTATATTGACGAAGAATTGTTTTTGTTTAAGGGTAGTCTGACAAAACGTTCAAAAAAATATCCAACGACAGAACATCCCACGACAAAATGTCTTAAAAAATAATATCCCCGTGCCAAAATATCCTACGACAAAATGCCCCCAACAAAAAATATCTAAAATATAATTGTAAAATTATTACACGATATATCTATTATGAGAGCATTATTGGCAAGAGCTAATTGCATGTGTCTTGTGTTTTTTTAGGTTTGTTAGATTCTTTAAGTTTGTAGGTTCTTTAGTTTGTACGGATACACTGATATCGGTTATACACACAGTAGAAACGATGTTTTTCGTTGGATTCGATCACTTTTCGTTTCATGTTGTTTGTAACTTTGATTTGCTTGACGTGCACTATGTCTGGAGTGTGATTATGTATCGTTTTGTTCATAACGGATCCTAGAAAGGCCGTAGCCGGATAAGAAGGGTTAATGTGCCCTCACACGGATCATGCTCATTTCTTTTGCTTTGATTGCTATGAGCGTCACTTACAATTTAGTCAAATATTAGCCCTTCATATTGAACCGTTTTGCTGTAAAAAATAAAAAAAATTTTGAAAATAATTCATACCTTTTGATCGGCTTAACCGATTTTGATAAAATTTTAATATGTTGTAGATATCATTGAGACACATTTGTGGAAACTTCGGGAAAGGTTTTTGATGACAGAAACATTGATAAAAAAAATAAATAAATGTTCTTGATTTTTTTAATCCCGATATCTTTCTGGCACAATTACAAAAATTTTTTTTTTTAATCTTGGAGTAGTTTCTTATCGGGCATAATTTTTTGAAAGCAATAAAATAGGTGGGCAGTACTTTTAAAAAATAAAGTATTTTTTTAGGGTAGACCGGGGCACGTTGTCACACATTTGTTTCAATATTTTTTGTATTTTTTACATTCAATATTTAAGAGTACTTTGATATGCCAAAATTTCGAGTGAACCCTCAGCTTCAATTGGACAGTATCGAATTTTGTGTGATTGTTACTCTACAGTTGTTACATAACAATAAATAACGACAGGTCGCTTGTGTGACCGGGGCACGTTGTCACATTAAATGTAAATGCATGCAAAATGTTATCCAAACTGTATTCAACGTAAATATCAATATATTATAGTGCGCTGCAATGTAAAAAAGTAAAATCCTTCACAGAAACATTTATTTTATTTCAAAAAAGTATAAAAAGCACGAAGGTTTTGTCTTAATCTAAATACAAGAATTCCACTCGAATGCGCAACTTATTGATAAACATTTTTTCTTTTATAATCATGTCGGTGATTAAACATAAAATATTTTTATTCCTTATCGTCATCCAAAGATTCGCAATAGATTCCCATCAAATTCGTGACAACGTGCCCCGAGGGCATTTTTTTTACTTCAAACAGCTTCATGGCCGACACGTTTGAGATATTCATAAGGTTAGGTATTGCACGCGGTAGGTAAAAGTACATACTTTAAGATAATATAAAGGTCTATTCTGAAAAAACATAAGTTTCATGTCCAGTACGTTGAATATTAGACAATAAAATTTTACTTACGGTCGCAAAAAACTTTCAAGTTGATTTTACGTCAACACGGCTGGAGCAATCTCAACACTGTAAACACACCAAAGATGGGCATACACTAACACGTTTTGGGAATGACGGGTGCTGCCCTCTGGTTATTAGTTTTTTAAATAAAGCCGATGTGAAAACGTGCCCCGTGTGAGAACGTGCCCCGGTCTACCCTATTTTTTAAAAATATGAGATGCTTTTGGTACGATTGCCATATATTTTATGTAAAATTTTGGGATAGTATTTCAATTTCAATTATTCTTTATTTTGCTCCCCTTCCGAGGCTGGAAAGGCGTTTTTTATTCAGTAAAAACAGTCCCAAAAACCTTTACATTTTGTTTCATTTCCCCCTCCTGGTCATTGAGCGACCGCATATCATATTTCCCTTCCCTTCATCTTCCATCCGGCACCCCTTTAGCCATCTCCTTCAGCTTTCTTCAGCTTAATAATTCAGCACCCCTCTGACTCCCTCCTTCCTGTCGCAGCTCTTCCCTTTTTTCCGGCTCTCTCCTTCCTCGTGTTCGACGCCTTCCTTCTTTCTTACTTTACCTTCACTCTGAAAATACCTACATCTTATTTCCTTTTTCTATTCCCCTCTCTCTCCCTTAATGCTCCTCTCTCTATCTCCCTTCATCTCTCCTTTCTATATTACATTTCTCTTACTCTCTTTTTTTCCTATCGTCTTCTTCCTCGTCCGAATCCATTAGCAGATTCTCCTCCATCCTTTTCGCAATCTCGTCCTCCGCGGTCCTCTTTGGTCTCCCGCTTTCCTACTCTCTTTTTTCTTTTCTCCTTTCTTTCTCCTCTCTTTCTCTTACCCTCGTCTCCACCGATTTGTCCTCATCCATTTTCACCCTTAATCTGCTCTCTTCCTTTCTCCTTGCATCTAATACCTTCCACTTGTCCTCCTCATTCCCCATCTTTACTATTATCGTCACCCAGTCTCCTCTCTGACCTATCATACTTACCTCTTTCACCTCCACCTTCACTTTTAATCCTTCCGAAAACAATTTCTTCACCTTCTCCCAATTTGATTCCTCTCCCATCCATCTCTCCTTTTCGATACTTATTATCACGTTTTTCTTTCTTTTCTCGTTGTCGTTCCTTTCATACTCTTCTGTTCACCATTTCCTCTTACCCTTACTCTCTTCACTGTCATCCCTCTTTCTTTTGCCCGCGCTCTGCTCCATCCTATACACCTTTCTTTTTAATCTCTCTACCTTTTCCTTCAATTCTTTTATCTCCTCATATTTTCTTTTACTGTCCTCCTTAAACTCCTTTATCATCTCCCATACTTTCCCTTCTACTATCTTTTCTATCGCCTCCTTTTCTATTATAATCTTCCCTCTGCACTCCATCCTTCTTTCCACCGCTTTCCTCTCTTTTTCCCTTTAGATTATCTGTAACAAAAAAGTTGAATTTACCTCATTTCACTTGCTCTACCTTCCTCTCTCGCTCCCTTCACTTAAGCCTTACCCGCCCCCTTCTTCCTTCTCCTTTTTCTCCTATTTTTTTCTCTCTCACCTCCCTTTGCACCACCCTCCTGCCCTTCTTCTCAACTCTCGTCGCCTTCTCTTCTACCTTCCTTTCTCCTTCCTTTCTCAGGCAGCGTCGCCCGGTGTCCAAGCACGCCTTTCTCCTCTTCTCTCCCCTCTAATTATTTGTACTATCCTCCACTTCTCTATTCTCGTTCCGCGTTTGTAATTTCTCCAGCCAATACGTACTTATACCTTACGCTTACTCACTCTAATGGCACGTGTCCTGCCTCGATTGCCACGCCGTACTCATGTCCCTCTACCGTGTCGCACCATCGATCCTCCTATCGATCCGCCTAGGATTTCCCTTCTTATCGACTCGCTCAAGTTTTTTTCGCGTTATCCGTGGTCGACACCTCTTCGTCGGTACCTCGTCTCTCCACCTTACCGGCTCATCCGTGTCGCCGGGCTCCTTGCTTCCTCCTGGCCATTCGAGCCCGTTCACCCTCACGGCCGCCAGGTAAGCAGCCTCCTCTTCTTCCCCTCTCCCTTTTCTCCCGGTCATCTTCTATCTCTTCCGCCTCTCGCTTGCTCCTTATCTACCAGCACCCGGCCTTTCCGCCTCCTCTCTCCCCCCGTCACACCCGATCACATCTTCTGCCGCACCGCTCCTCCACATCACCACACCTGCTGTATGTGCATCCCCGCGTTCTCCTCTTTTCCTTTCATCTCCGTTCTCTCCTGTCCTGAACCCTGCTCCTCTCTCTGCATCCTCTCTCCAAAGTCCACCGTCAACATAACCTCTCTCTCAGGCCTCCTCATCTCCAACAGATTTCTGCCGTCCCGCTTTACTTTCCACCTCGCCTCCACTAATATTCCACCTTCCCTTTCGGCCTTTCGGCTTCCTTCACGCCGCGCTTACCTTTTTTCCTCCACCTTCTCTCTCCCCGATAACACCTTTTTCCGACACTCTTTTTACGATTCACCTGTTCCCCGCCGAGGGTTACGGGAGAGCTCGTGAATTTTGGGATAGTATTCTACAAGTAATTTTTTCGGACCAATAAAATGGGTGAAAGGTACTTTAAAAAAAAACAAAATATATATTTTTTTAAATTATCATAGCTTTAAGGCTAATCTACAATGTGTTCTTTGCTTCCTGTAGAGTCCCTCTAGCTTTCTGTTTTCTGCTCTTAACCTCTTTGCGACTATCTCGTATTTCGCAATTCCGTCGCGTAACGTGATGTTTCTAGTCTCTTCTGAAGTTCGTCAATTTTTATTTTAAGCGACAGAGAACAAAAAACATCGCGTTACGCGACGGAATTGCGAAATATGAGATAGTCGCAAAGAGGTTAAGAGCAAAAAACAGGAAGCAAAGAACACATTGTAGATCAGGTTTTATGGTACCACCGCACCGCTATATTTTTGTTTAGAATCTTGGAATGGAATCCTACAACAAGTAATTTTCCGGAATCGATTAAGAATGTTTTACGTATCCTGTACAGTAAAAATGAATAAAATTTGTATGGTACACTTCTATGACATCGAGAATTGCAATTACGATTTTTTAAGTTTTTCTGTTAATATTTTTTTTTAATTTTTTAATAATTTATTTAAACAATATCAAGTACAAAAATGGGACAAAATTGCGATTTTTACGTTTTTTCTGTCCCAATGACAACATGTTGATGTTTATGAATAATTTCTGAGACTAGCTTTACACTGTTTAATCAAGAAAACAAAATTATACTACATATAGTTATATGTAAAACATCCTTAATCGATTCCGGAAAATTACTTGTTGTAGGATTCCATTCCAAGATTCTAAATAAAAATATGGCGATGGTACCAAAAAGCTATAATAATTTTGAAAAAAAATATTTTGTTTTTTTTAAGTATTTTTCACCCATTTTATTGGTCCGAAAAAATTACTTGTTGTAGAATACTATCCCAAAATTCTACATAAAATATATGGCGATCGTACCAAAAGCATATCATATTTTTAAAAAATAAAAAAATACTTTATTTTTTAAAAGTACCGCCTACCCATTTTATTGCTTCCAAAAAATTATGTCCGATAAGAAACTCTCCAAGATTCTAGAAAAATTTTTTCGTAATTGTGCAAGAAAAATATCGGAACTAAAAAAAATCAAGAACATTTATTTTTTTTTATCGCTGTTTCTGTTATCAGAAACCTTTCCCGAATTTTCCTCAAATGTGTCTCAGTGATATCTACAACATATTAAAATTTCAAAATCGGTTAAGCCGATCAAAAGATATGAATTATTTTCGAAATTTTTTTATTTTTTGCAGCAAAACGGTTCAATATTAAGGGCTAATATTTGACTAAATTGTAAGTGACACTGATAGCAATCAAAGCAAAAAAAATGAGCATGATCCGTGTGAGGGCACATTGACCCTTCTTATCCGGCTACGGCCTTTACAGAGGTGATAACGTCGTGAATGTTAAATACATTATGTAATGTATAGACGTAAGATGTGACTGGTGATTGTTGAATAGATGTTGATATTACCTGTCTCTTATTCGGTTATCGTTTGGCAACGCCCGGGACATTTTATCTCCTGCGCGTAGCGAGTGTATCGTCAAAACACCTTTCTTGTACTTGTACAGTGCTTGTAGTAAATAAAACTTTGATGTTGTAATAATTTTCAACTTTTTTGACTAGGCTAGGAATGTGAGAGACATTGCTTCTTACCGCAGTAAAGGTTTGATGTGTCCACGATGCTAGAACTTGGTCCAAGTTCTCGGACCGAAGAAAAGTTATTAAAACTTGGATCGTGGACACACTGAACTTGGATGCAAAACTGGTGTGTCCACGATTTAAGTTTCAGTAATTTTCCCTCGATCTGAGAACTTGGACCAAGTTCTAGCATCGTGAACACAGGACTTAAAGGCTGAGTTGAAACTGTTGGTAGTGTTTACAAGCCATCATTAGTATGTACGCACATGCGATATTAAATGCGAAAATAGATTCAAATGTCTGTACATAGTCGACGAGGAAAGTTATTCGATTGTCGAATGGATGTAATAGAACTGAAAATAACATATATATTTATTTGAATATTTTGTCGTGAGTGTTTTGTAGGATACTTTTCCGAGGAGACATTGTGTCTTAATTGGGACATTTTGTCGTAGTATGTTTTGTCGTGGTACATTATTTTTTGAACGTTTTGTCGTGAATTCTTATTTAAGAGACATAAAAAATTATCGAATACACTCGTTCCTTTTTCTTCAGTACATATTACCAAAACTGAGAGGTGGAAAAGATTTCGTAATGGTGGGATACTCTTTCGGATCTATTATCGCAATTGAGTTAACCAGAAGATTGGAGGATATGAATTTTAAAGGCCGGCTGGTTCTCATCGACGGCGCTCCTGAACAAATACAAACAATGTACAAACATTTTACATCAAATCCTAATACAGATCTTCAGATTATTGTTCTAACCAATATCATGGAAGTTTATTCAGCAGGAAGCAGTGAAAAAGTATAATTTTTTTCTTAAGCTTAATGTATCAAAATTAATTTTTGTGTTCTTTATAAGGGTATCAATATCAGTCTTATTATAGTCTTTTGTTTCAAGTATTTCTCATTTTAAAATAAAACTTATATTAAAAACAAAAAATATAATTTGGTAGATTCTAATGGAATTGAAGAAATGTAAAACCTGGGAAGAAAGATATAATATTTTTGCTGAACAATTCTTAGCTACGAATACGTCACTCTCACCCGCAAATTTAAAGACGCTATGTACGACAGTTTATAAAAATGTATCCGCAATTCGGCAATATGATCCTTCTACGTTGCCGCCTATTAAGTCTTCCATAATATTGCTAAAATCAGCATTCTCATTGCATATACCACTTAAAGAGGATTGTGGTTTGCAGAAGGTATTTAAAAAGTTTGATCTGTATTTGGTAATAAGTTTATTTTATTAATGAAATACGTAATTATTTAAGGTAACTCAAAATCTGGTGAAAGTACATTACATCGACGGTACTCATGTGACGATCCTGAAGAGTGAGAAAGTACTAGCTGCGATTAACGGAGAGCCACCATTTATAATTTAATGTTTTAATTTATTTATACTTTAAATTTAAAGTCACATTTGTTCCTTATACATATAAATCTGTATCTCTGTATGTGTAGGTACTGGCTGTCTCATTTTAAACTACTTTCCAAAAGTTTTACTCCTTTTAATTTTAAAAGAAAATGTTTTAGACAAAAGTTGTATAATCAGCAGATGGACAAATAATGATGAAATAAATATTCAAAAATTTTTTCAAGATTACGTGAGTCATCTTTAATTTTTTTAATGGAACAATTTTGGTAATAAAATTTTGAAGCTGATGTTGAGATGTTTGCAAAGACCTATAATAGTTAATATTTTTGTTGAGAATTTGGGGAGATATAATGTAAGAAACGTTAAGATAGTCACGTTGGCACGGTAGCTGGCAAACTTGCGGAAACTTCGAGAAAAGACATCACGCCGGACACGCGTGATCAGAGCCGAACACGGAGCTCGTTGCTCCGAATGTAACGGGCGACGAATAGAGAAGGTAGCTGAAATACATTCGGCACCAGAAAGAGTAAAATACTTGGCGGCGACCGGTAAGCTGACAAAAGGAGCAAGGAAGTGGTTCGAGATAGGCTCAGGAGAGATGCTGGAGTCGTGGACGGGCTTCAGAGAAGCCATATTGGCGAGATTCCGCCGTAGAGTTTTATTCCACGTGGCTATACAGAAGATTGAAGCACGTAGGTGGAAACCTTCTTAGAATACGCAGCAGATAAGCTGGCCCTAATGTACGGCCTCAATATAACAGAGGAGGAAAGAGTACATTTAATAATAATTGGTGGCATAGGGAGCCGCTCTCTGCGAGAAACGGCGGCCGCGCAGAACACGGAAAACGTCGATTTATTCCTGCAACAAATGCAGAAAATTATAAGTGCCTCAGGGGAGACGGAGGCCAGGAAGCAGACAAGAGAAGGAAGCAAAATACCCCAACGAGACAACGACAAGGACAAGGCGAAGGAGAAGGACAAGGAGACGGGCAAGGAGGGAATCACGTGCTTCAGGTGCCAAGCGAAGGGGCATAAGAGCTACGATTGTCAAAGCGGTGGAAAGGTTCTATATATATCTATATATAGGCTGGAATTTGTCGTCGTGACCAATTGTAACGCGATAGTCCACGCGGTTAATAAAGCAAACTTAAACTCGAAGATAGCTAGATGGACCTTGAGGTTGCAGGGGTATAAGTTTAAAGTCGCCCATCGCGCGGGCGAACAAATGATGCATGTCGATGCACTCAGCAGGCACATCGGCCTGGTAGAGGCCTTTCCGTTAGAGCGCGAATTAGAATTTAAACAACTGCGCGATCACAGATTAAAAGAAATAGTGGAAAACCTCGAATTCGAAGACAATGATAAATTCGAACTGATGGACGGTTTAGTGTATAAGAAAGGCGAAGATTGCCCTCGATTCGCCGTACCGGGCGAGATGATTAATAATGTGATAAGAGCATACCATGATGAGATGGCACATTGTGGGACCAAAAAAACAATACATACGGTCGAATTATTGGTTTCCATCGATGAGGAAAAAAATAGCGGATTACATCTCGAATTGCTTAGTCTGCCTAACAGCTAACTCGTCCACTCACGTTAAGGAAGGCGAGATGATATTAGACAAAAGCGTACGAACACCGTTCGACACGTTGTTCGTCGATCATTTCGGTCCGCACCATCAGGAGACGGACGACGACTATAAACACATTTTCGTAATAGTAGATTCATTTACACGATTTACGTGGCTATATGCTACAAAATCAACGACATCCAAAAAAACCATAAAACAGTTAACCCCGCTATTCACTATGTTCGAGAATCCGAGAAGATTAGTATCAGATAGAGGCACAGCCTTCACATCAAAAGAATTCGAATTGTTTATCCAATCCAGGGGAATTCAACATAGACAGGTGGCTGTGGCCGCCCGGTGGGCTAACGGAAGAGTGGAAAGGGTCAATAGATTTTTGAAATCGTCGTTGAGAAAAATGGTAAGGAACCACACGATTGGAAATCTCATCTAGGTACAGCTCAATACGTTACAAACAATACGGTACATATAGCTATTAAGATGTCACCGTCAAAGGTTACGATCAACGGAACCAGGTTGATGCAGCGATAGTCGAATTAATAAATTCGATTGCAAAAATACGCTTCGATCCCGACAAAAGAGAAGAAAATTATGAAATCGCGGAAGAAGCGACAGATTTGTTAGCGAAATACAATAAAAACTACTATAATAGCAAGCATAAAAAGCCATCGAAGTATCAAACTGGCGACTACGTTATGATTCGCGATACAAGTGAAACCAACCGAGAATCGTAAACTTAAACCTAATTATAAGGGACCGTACATGATTGCGAGAGCGTTAAATAAAAATAGATATGTAGTACAAGACGTACCAGGTTTCAACTTATCGTCAAGACCGTACGACAATATACTGTCGCCCGATCGCCTCAAACCATGGGTGAAACCTGTAAAACGTTGCCACCCGAGAGTGACGAATAATATAGGATGTAAATAAATCAATTATTAGTTTGTAAGGACGCGTAGTGAGTAAAAGATAACATCGTTTAACCGAAGTAATTTTTATTTTGACATTTTAGCCAAAAAGTTTAATTTTTGTTAACACGCCTCATTCTCTCGGGACGAATAACGTGTTAAGGGAGCCACAGACAGGACGCGTCAAGCGTCAAGCAGCGAGCAGCAACCCAATTGAACCCAATCAGTGAGGTGATATCAGCAGTGGCGTAGAAAATATCGTCTCGCTGATTGGTTACTGCTCGCTGCTTGACGCTTGACGCGTCCTGTCTGTGGGAGCCTTTAGAACCTCTGTGAAGTTGGCCGGGCAACTTCAACGTATCAAACTTTCATTAA